AAAACAAAATATAATAATATAATATTGTTATGTTGATTCAAGAGACTTATAGAAGTCGTGGTATGTTGATGGAACAAGTCCCATTGTGCATAGTGATAACAAATCCGCAATTTTTGGTTTTCCAATACATAACTTTCCATTATATGCTTTTATTGGTTTAAAGCGATGTTGATGTCTTCCCCTTTGTTTTTTAAGACGTGATATATCGATTTCGACAAAGTCTGAAGCACTTAAATCATATTTTAGGCAGATTTCAAAAGGCTTTTCAAATGTCACAGTTATTTCTCTTATGGTATTCCATTTAATTTTGGTACCATCATGAGCTGTTGTCMAATTACATAGTTTGTCATCGACTAATGAACTCGACTATAAACCAGTTTAATGTTTACCAGTTACCACTGCATACTCATTATTCACCACATAATATCACGATTCACGCGTGAACACTGAACAGTAACATACTAACATAGCTAGCCTAGCTAGGTATTGTACACAAAAATACAAAATAGTAAAAATACTTAATATTCTATTTATTTTGTGGCCATTTGGCATTATTTACCCATTTGTCATTTGTGCTAAATATTTACTGAGTGGACGTTGTACTTTCACTTTGTTTCTGTTCGCAATATTAGTTTATTACAACTAATTATTTTTCCTCGTGACTCGTGAGTTTATTTTGTACATATGATGTGCAAATAGACACGTTTTTGTTGGTTTGCAACCTATTGGCTATTTTGAAACTTATCTTCGAAATTTGTATGAAAGCTTAAAGATAAGTACCTACTAAATAGTAAATTCATAATAATAAATAAATAATAATTAATAATCAGGTATTTATGTTTATATAAATCTGCAGATAGGTAATAATCTATAATACCCTTAAATCTTTAAGTTATAAACCAAAATTGTATTAATGTAGTACCTAATACAATTTTGAACTTTGATTAACCGTCACTTTCTGTTATCCTTTGTAGTCAAAATTGTAAAACAGAATATATAAAATCATCAGTTCACTGATTATTTTGTATAGCATAATACACACTAACTACTAAGTAAATGAATTAATTAAGTATAGGTACTTAATCGATGGTAGTACTATCATGGTACATCCGTTCATAATAATATATATGTATAATGCACACCTAATTATTATCGGTGAAAGTTATTCAAAGTTCTAGTGTATGTTGGTTTTTATATTTTATATCTACCTATAGGTTATAATAATTAAGATAGTAAAATTCAAATTGGATTTTTGAAGGTTAAAAACTTCAATACCTAGAATTTACAACTGTTTAATAATTATTATATCTACAATAGTAGMCAGTAAGCACCTAATTTTTATATGAAGTATGAAAATGAAACACTATGTTAATTAGAGACTAGAGTGCATCTTGTTTAAAAATRTAAGTTGAATTGAAACAATAATTTTCATACTTTTGCCATGTGCTCACTATGGATAGATACATCTTTATTCTAACCTAAGTTTTAGTTTTTTAATTTAATTTAATTTGTATTATTGGTTAAAACTCAGCAAAACTGTTTAACTTGTTAAATGCATGTATTTATATTTGTCTTTTTGTATATTAGGTGTTATTATTTCTCAACAAACCTAAATTAGTAATTTCCCACTATGGATTTATTCACAGAAAACATAATGAAACAATAGGGATATTCATCAGAAATTATTAATATGTGTATAGGTATTTAAAGATAGCTTACCCATTTATAGTTACATTAGTCAATAACTAAATTATAATATTATTGTATAGGCACCTATAATATRAATAMAATTTATAATATAAAAATTTGTAATATGATCACTTTAAAAATATAGCTAATATCTACGGAGGTTATCTATTAAACTAGATATACTTAACCCTGTTTAAATAAAATCGACTGAMTTGTTTATATAACGATTGTTTTATATTTTATGAGGAAGAAATAGATGAAACAGTCTTATTTGGCCTTACTGAAAGTATGATTGAACAGTTATTCCCAAAAATATTTCAACGTTATAAGTTTTTAAAACATTTGAAGCAATTAAAAACAGAAAAAGTAAGAATATGTATAATCTTATGTATAAGTAATTTCACAATTTTTTTTTTATAATATGGAATTTACCTGAGGAATAGTCACCAGTTACTCGACATACATTAATTGATTGGGATAACTTAGATGTCGAATTATCAGATGACTTAGAACTAGAACATATTCCTTATAACTGATAACAATCTTATAAAAGAAATTTCATTGGTAACTAACACTAATGAATGCACAATATTATTAAATACAAATTTTCTGATAACCACAATATTTATTAGATAATATATTTTCTTAAAACACCTATAGGCAGTGTTGGGACTTATCTAGATAAATTTATCTAGATAGATTTTTAGTCATCTTTTATCTTATCTAGATAAATAATTTCAAGTTATCTAATTACTTATCTAAGATGCATTTTTTACTTATCTAGATAATTTTATCTAGATAATGTCTGTATTCTTGCTGTGATTAGAATATTTTTTATTCTTATATTTTGTATTAATAATCGTAAATCGTAATTCGTATATTAGTAAAGTTAATAGTTAATGTGTTATTTTTAGTTGAGTTAGTAATATAATGTACCTAATATTATATTCATCCTCAGAATGTCCTAGCCGTGTATTATTTATACAATAATAATTGTACCACAACAATTATTATTAACAAGCCACATGGGCGATAACTGATAAGCTAATATATATATAGAATTCGCGCCGACATTACTCCGCCGCGTCGGACTACGCGGGCACGCAGTGGTTTCTGAAAATAGTCTATTTTTGTAATCCATTAATAATTATTTCCTTTGTTATTTTTATCATGATAGTAAGTTTCTATCATGGATTTTATGCAGTCCAATCATAGACAAGTATACTAATCCTAGAGTTCAATTTATGTGGAGACACGGACATTGTTGTTTAATAATTGTGCATTTGTACCTACTCATCCATACTGTCCAAAGTCCACATAGTGTCGTACCTAGTCGTCAGTCAAGTATTCTTAATACTTATAATACTTGTCTGTTGCCGTGCAGTATCGTTAAGAAAATAAGAACGAGTGATGATCATATATTTAGCATATCGTATTTCGTACTTTTTAGTATTTTGCTAGTTGTTTTTACTACACCGTTTTTATTAAATTAACTACCTATTTTAATTATATACCTATAATAATTTTAATATGAAGCGTTTTTTGACACCGATGTTTGATGTTTCGAAAAACTCTTTATCCACCAAAAAAAATAAAAAATCAACTATAATCTATGAACCTATTGAAGAGACTATTGATGAACCTAGTGCTATAATGTCTAGTTTGATTGATGTTGAAGAAAATAATGTGTCAGCTGCATCATCCGTTACTGTAAAATTATCAAAGCATTACTTGTTTGATGGTAATTATTATAAAATTACTTCATGTGTGGACGATAAATTATTAGCTGAATGCCAATTGTGTAAAAAACCAATAAACGGTCAAATAAATTCTACTGGCAATTTTCTAAGTCATATTAAGGTATGTAGGTACTAAATATATTTTGTGTAAATTAAGTTGATTTTAAATTTGTATGTTATCTAACCCAATCTATTAATTATTATATTTTAGAAGAAGCATTCATCAATATTATCCAAATTGAAAATAAGTAAAGATGAAAAGAAGAAAATTAATAATGCTAGTTCATGTGAGTAAATAAGAACCTTTTTTTTTACTTTTTTTTCTTATAGTTACTTGAATTATCTTTATGGAAATTACTATAGAATAGTAATATAGCGTGTATTTATAATGTTAACTACACGGTTCATGTGGAGAACGGATATAGTATAATGGCGCCTTAAGTATACTGTATACATGATATATAATAATATAATATAATGGTGTATAAACAAGTAGGACCCAGGTTATATTATAATATTATATATTATATATTTATATTATATTATATTTATAATTATTCTAAAAGAAAAAGATTTTTTGTTTTAATACCTGTCCTACTTATTTAATAAATAAAATATTATTACCTATATTTCATAATATTAATGTTGTAGGCTTTAAAGATATACAGCCATCATATTCTGGAAGCCAACAACAAAAAATACCACAGTACACACAACAAAGGCAAATATCAAAACAAACAGTTCGTTTGATTTATATTATAATACAGAGTGATCTTTATCATAAACTGCTTATTCAAATTTCACCACCTGTGAAATGTAAAACAGTTAAGTTCAAAATTATTTTTACATTAGGTGCATAGGTTTTTAAGTGTTAATTGTTTTTCAAATATTTTATTACTATTTACTGTTCCAAAATATCTTTAAAAGAGTAATAAATAATAATTGTCAACTGATACTTATCTGTCTTTATAATAAATTGATTTAATTTAAGTTAATTCTACTTAATTCAACTATTGCCTTTACAATTGTATTGATCAAGTGTTTTAATTACCTAAAATGATTTGCTTTTAGATCAACAACTTGGTCTTTGATTATGTAGTCCAAGAAATGAGACCATTAGTAACTTGTCAAAAACCAGCATTTAGAAGATTGATAATGGGCCTTACTGGAATAACAGATACAGCGTTACTCCCTGATACAAAAGATTTGAGTAAATTGTTAAAATTAAGTTATACTTCTTATGTTACTATGTTAACTGATTTAATATCAAAAGTATCATTTATTTGTACAACAGCAGACATATGGTCTAGTAACAATAAAAGTTATTTAGGTATGACTTGCTACTTTCTCGACGAAAATACTTATAGCAGATACTCGTATGTTCTTGGTTGTAGGCGCATAAAGGGCAGTCATACTTACATGAATATAGCACAGGTTATGAATGAAGTCACCAAATCGTTTAAAATTAACAATTCCAAAATATCGCATACTGTGACCGATAATGCTTTAAATTTCGGAAAAGCGTTCTGAACATTTTCCATTCATTCAGAAATCCCAAATGAAAGTCAGTTTAGTGCTCAAAGTTCTAATAACAATTGGTTCAAAAGTAGTGATGATGAATTCTAATGTTGAAATAAGTGACTCTGGTAGTGAGGTAGATAATGCAKATGTTGAAATTGTAGAAATATCAACATTATTTTCAAATCCTGGAGATATTGAATGTAATGACGATGATGATGATTTTTGTTTTCCTGAACATCTAACCTGCACTGCCCACACTCTTAGTTTAATTGTTACTAGTGATGTAGCTAAAATTTCTGACTCAACTTATAAGAAAATTTCAAAATCTGTGTTTGTTAAATTAAATGCATTTTGGAACATTCTTAGCAGAAGTTCGGTCGCTTCTGACAAAATATATGAGATCTGTAATTTAAAGTTCCCTGTGCCTATTATTACACGCTGGAATTCAATGTATTTTGCAGTAAAAAAAGTGGTTAGTTGCATTTGAAGAGTTAAAATTAAATAAATTAAAACAATCTGAGTGGGCATTTCTAGATGAATATTGTGTGATCATGGAACCTTTGGCAACATCTCTTGACCTAATGCAAGGGGAAAAAAGTTGTTTTTTAGGTTATGTCGCCCCTACTATTATTGTTCTGAGACTTAAATTAATTGAGATATGGATGGTTCACTTGATCAAAATCATATTTCTTTTCAAAACTCGGTTAATACTCCTAAAAATACAAATCTTGCTAGTGTTCAAGCACTTTCGTTTTTGGATACAAAAAAAAAAAGAACTAGACATTTTAAATAATTTGCCAATTGTTAAAAAAGTTTTTTTTAAGTATAATACAACCATCATCTGCCCCTGTTGAGAGGTTGTTTAGCAGTGGTTCACAGATTTTAGTTCCCAGGAGAAACCGGCTTAGCGACAACACATTTGAAATGTTGTTATGCTGCAGGTGTTTTAATAATAATAAATAATTTTAACTAAGTCTTATAACTAAGCATAAATATTGTTATATTATTTATATTATTATTTTATTTTTAATAGTTACTTAAATTATCAAACTGAAATAGAAAGTTACTGTAAATTGTTAAAATTGTAAGTATTAGTATAGTTTTTCAACTATTTAGAATTTTAAACTTTAGTGGCAATCCTGCTAAGATTATAATATTATATACCTACTTGCATACTCATTACTTATTGTTATTCTGCATTGTTATTGATGTAATTTAAGAAATATTTGGTGCTTGAATTTACTATTTTTATGTTATTTAAACCTTTTGGCAGTTATAAATTTATAAATAATAAGTTATGATTAAAAAATGTGATATTATTATCAGTATTTACTATTTACTATAATAATTAATATGTAATTTTTTTTTAAATAATTTTTATGTGATTAAGTAGGTACTGGAGTATGGCAGTACCTGACTTATGAGTAATGATACACTTAATTACTACAATAAATACCTTTACTGGTAATTCAAACCAACAAATAACATTTTTTTTTTAATTATCTATTTTTTTATCTAGATAAAAATGTATTTATCTTTATCTAGATATTTTCAAATTTTTTATCTATTATCTTTATTTAGATAAATYCACACGTATTATCTTTCATCTTTATCTAGATAAATTTTGCAGTATCTATTTCCAACACTGCCTATAGGTAGGTATTACCTATACATTTATTTTAATTTTATATACTTAAATTTTAAACTATTTTGGTGTCACAGTTATGACAATGGTGACCTGTTCGTCTTCTTCTTTAACTATTAAAAATGATCTAAAAAAAAACCAAGATGGTGAGATGGTTTTGAAGTTTTACGGATCAAAAAATTGTTTGAATAGCGCTATGAGGAATAAATTGGTATCTGTAATAATGAAGGACCAATTTCAAAACAATGATAATTTAAATAGGACAAGATTTATTGAATTAACAAAAGGGTATAAGAGTATTATAATTTTAAAAATAAAAAAACTATATTTATTTTATTTCTAACTCAAAGGAATTGAAGAATTATATCCATCTGAAACGGAAGAGTTGTACTTTATACCGTATTGTAAAGAGGGAAATATTATTAATCCCAATAGGGGAAAACTGTACGACAAATTCTGTAACATAAAAAAAGAAATCGCAAAAATAATTGGTACAGGAAGGAAAAATTTTAATTTAAATGATGAAGGTATATAAAGCATAATTAATTAAATATATTAAAAATTAATTAAGTATGAAATATGTCAGTTATGACTATTGTATATGGTTTTTTGTGCCTAACATTATGAAGACTCATTATATGGCTACGAAACTGGACCAGATAATATTCTACATAAGTTGTGGAAAGAAACTTCAGAATATCGGTAGTTAAAAGACAGAAATATTAATATTATGACAACATGCTTAGGTCTGAGCAAACCCGCTGGTCATATTTTGGTTAGTTGTATATTTAATTTTCTAAGTAATTTTGATATGTTAAATAACTTATATATGAATATACTCATTGTTTTAGATTGATATAGATTTTATTCATTTATATTCTGGAAAGGAAATTAATTTTTGCAAAAATTTGAAATGTTCAAAGAAAAATTGAAACAATTGTTAGAAATTAAAAAAATTAATTCTATTGATATAAAAATAATCAATAGATTAACTACACCTAAAATACCAGACATGTTCTTGTAATACATGCAATAATTTATATTTATATCATACAAATTTAAAATAATTTGTAGGTGAAGATGATATTGCTGCACTAGAAATTATACCTCATCTTTTTCAACCCGTGAGCATAATTATACAAAAACCTGGTAATACTCGTCATACTATTAGATCAGGGGTGGCCAACAGGTCGATCACGAGGTGAATAATAGTCGATCGCTACACCATTTGACATTTTTTTAAATTTTTGAATTTTTTTTTCAGAAAAAAAATTATTATTATTATTATTTTTTTTTTTTTTGTAAATCTGTGTGTATCTTTGTATACTTATCCCACTAATATAAAAATTAGATTTAGAAAAAGGCAATAAATAATTCTGAAAAATGAGTCTATACAGTGATATAGAGTTATATCGTGTAGGTATTAAATTACGTCGTGTTGTGTGAAATTGTGAAAATTAAACGTGTTAATAATACTTGTGTACAATAATAATAATAACTTCTATTTAATTAATAATTAATTTTTGTTTTGTTTATTGACCTTTTTTTTTTTGGTCGATCGTATAACCTTAAAAAACTCAGATGTCTTTTAAAGTTGGCCACCTCTGTATTAGATCATCGAAATTAGAACAAGCTCCTTCGTTTATCACCCAAATCACAGTAAACTTTTTTTTAAATAAAAGATAATTTTATTGAATTTTTCTAATTGTTTTTTAAATAATAAAATATACAACTATACAATTAATAATGATGAAGAAGATTACATAACATGAAAAATGGCACGATGTAGGAGGGCTCCCAACCATGGGCGTTCTCACGGGGGGGATATGGGGGGATAGATCCCCCCTAAGTCTCTTTATTTTCTGACATATTAGTGATATATATTTTGTCTATTTTTGGTAACCCTTACGGCTTATCATATAATAATTTCTTTCATCCCCCTCCATTAAAAAATCCTGAGAACGCCTCTGCTCCCAATGGAGCTACCTACTTGGATAGCCAGCAACATAAACGTTAGCATGAACGTACTTCATCGTTATAGCTCAGCTACCTGGGCATCGGTAACGGGAGACGTAAAAATGAACGTAATATATACATAGGTATATAGTAGTATGGTATATACTAATAATGTTGTAAGCTTCAAAATCCTTTAACGTTGCCTACTAATAACAACCATCATTTTTGACGACCACGATGATATTTTACCAAATAAATCGTTGTCAGCATATTAAGCCGGCATGAAGGACATGCATAATAAACAAAACATGCCTACATTAAAATTAAAAATAAATTTTTTTCAACTTTCAGTCAACTACCTATATAAGACATTTTAATTTTAAACAATACTCTTATTAAACCCTAGTCCATTTTGAATATTGCATTGTGCTTAACCTAAGAGAAAATATGACCAATGCGTCTTATGTCCGTTGGGAACTAACTACGCTGTGACATCTCAGCCAAGTTCTTAAAGGGAAAGCTTTCGGTCGTACTGACTTTACCTACCTACCATATTATTATGTCCTATGTTTGATTGTATTTATAATAAGGCTGCAGTAGGTACATAACAAATTGATTCCAATGATAACTCATAGTGGTATACTTATAAACTGGTTGCGTGTATGTACATATTAAAATTAGTTTCAATCATACTCTATGTGTAAAACTACACTGATCAACTATGATACAATTTTCCATATTTTCATAAATTGGCATACAAATAATATAGAAATACACTGTTTATGACAAATTGTATATAATTATAAAGTGCTGAGAATCAAGGCTGAGAAATAGAATTAAACTTTTAACTGAGCTAAGTAAAATTGATGGAAGCAATACGTATACACTGAAAAAAATTATGTTGTATAGTTTTACCAAATAGGTTTGTTAGAGATTATATCGTAGTTACTACCAGAAAATTGTTATGCATACAATATTATATTGTTTTCAGTAAAGTCCTCTTTCTGTAAGTTATTGATGGTGTAAAGAACAATAAGATTTGCTGTATTTAAAAATTATTACGTAAATACAACAGAATAAACGAATTAACAACACTTTTAATAGACGGAACAATATTTCTGGTAATCTACGTTTATTAGATAAAATCTATTTTTAAACTGAGTATACCAAAAACCGAATGATGGATTGTGGGTACGGAACATTTGTGATTACAACAAAACCTTGTAGTAATAACAACCAATAATAAGGTTTTCCCAATACTATTTCTTAAATTATCAAGTAATATATAGTTGATACAAGAGTGGCAAGGGGGTGGAGGATGCTAATCGGCACGGCGCGCGGCGGTCGACTGGAGAAGACTCAAAGACTGTTGTCAGCGGAGTTCGGACTGCGGGTTGCCGATTGACTC